TCTCGCAGTTCCTGTCCTTTTTTTTCAACATTAAGAAGAAAATCAGCCACGGCTTCAGGGGCACAGCGACCAGTTTTTATATTATATAATAAATCATTGCTCATTTCAATGCTATCGAAAGGATTCACATTTTTGTTCATTACATTAATAAATTTAAGTAAATGAGCAGAATCTTTCATTATTTGATTTTTTTTCTAAACTAGAGGTCGCATCCTGAATTTTTTTTAATCCGCTAAGGTCAAATACATACGAAATTATTGTCGATCTTAAGCCATGACTCCTTGCCCATCGTTGTCGAGCACTTATCGAATTAGTAAAATGCATTATTCCTGTTAATCTTCTCGCTGCATCGACATTTATGGTTTGTTCTAGTGTTAAATCTACTGGCACGCACGAAAAAGAATTAGACGTTCTCTTTATTCCAAACATCCCTCTTTTAAACTCTTCGGCAAGTTGCGGATGCTTTTGCTCGACTGTCAACAAATCATCATGATACTTTAAGAGCCAACGTGCATAATTATTTTGATTAAACATAAAAAACAAATTGCATAACTTAGGAATTATAAATTTGTATAGATCGAAGTCTCCTACGCGAATGCTTCTTGTAAACATTAAATAATAATTAACAAATTCTATGTACATTACATAATACTGTGCTGTCTTTCCATACATTCCATTCAGTGTGTCTAGTTTGAATTCTGAATACTTTTGATTGATTGTTGAAAGCTCTGCATCGGTCAATTCATCACTAGATAACTTTTCTGGCTGCATTTTTATTAAATAATCTATTACATTTTCAGAAATAGTTATTTGATTGGTTGTAAGGAATTTCTGAATATGTAAAACTTGTAAAGCTAAGGAAAGTAATAGATGTAATCGTTTGCATCGATTGAAATGCTTGCCGCTTATAAAACCGTTTACCGAGCCACTAGCTAACAAATTGCTTTCGACCATCATATGAGTTAATCCGCACTCGTCGATGAATTTTCCTAAGGCCTTAAAATAGGACATCATTGTGTGAAAAGCACTCATATGTATAAAAAGGTCATCAAAATTCGGTTTGTCCACAGATTGAATTTGATAAGCGATTTTCATAACCGCTAAATCATATGTAACTTGCATGTAAGTTCTCTTTTCAAATAGCAAACCGTCATTTCAAAGCAAAGGATCAAAACAGAGAGGGAAGAAGAGAGACAGCAAACAATCGAGCATATGTTCGCTTTTTCGTTCTTGAAGCGGTAATTCGTATACCTGAAACGCAGATCAATGGCTGAACGACATTCAGAGCTGATACACATCTCTCTTATAACGATCTCCTCATAAAACTTTCTATTCGATTATTTCGTACTTTTCTCGAAAAACTCGAAAATTCATACATTTAGTCACTTATATTTAAACGTTTCAATATGTTTTGTTTAAACATAATAAAAATCACGCAGAATATTGCAAACGTTACAATAAATTGTTAATTAAATTTATGAATTCTTCTTAATTGACTTCTGACATTTTAATAATAGTTTCTCAAGTCCCCCTTGATTAATCAAATAAATTGTCAGAAATGCTCTAAAATATGTACGGTGTGAAAATCAAAAGAAAAGCGATCGGTGCTGCGCCGCGCGCCGAAATACGCTCTTGCACTTCGCACCCGATTTTCTCATAATCTCTTCTACTTTAACTTCTGACACTTTGCACATACTTTGCTCTATACGTAAACAGTGTAAATTCAAATTGTCAGAAGTTTTCTTTAAAATGTAAATTTTCCGATATTTTTCGCAACTTTGACAGCTTCTGACAACCTTTTAGCTTCCACTTACCCTTCTGACAATTTTTTTACTGCTTTTTCTCATGATCTTCGATGTCTATGTAAATTTTCAGCCGTGCACATCGACAATTTTTTTAGTTGGACAATTTACACGTTTGATCGTCCACCCACGCATTTATCTTCCAGCGCGCCTTCTGACGGTCGGGCTTTTGCTTTGCTGGTAGCAATCGAACATTTTCCAGGTAAAATATTTCATGCACCGAGGCATGTCGCACCCCATGTAGCCAGCTCTTAGACTATTAGGGTAAAAATGATCCCATGGTTCGTTGATCCCACCAGTCAAAGCGGTTTTTGTTTAACCCTTCCACCACACACGGGGTCCCAGGGACCCCAGTCCCGGTTCGCGCTTCGATTTGACCACCTTAATATTTGAAACGGGACTTGTGGCGCCCTCTATCGGTTATGCGACACTACTAGAAGCAGATCCCGCGGGGAGCATCCCCGTTTGTTGCTTATGAGGTGAGAAGCAGAGGCAAATAAAAAACTTATGATTTTTTAAGTAGAAAAGGTCATTTTTTTCCATTTTTTCTTTCACTTTTCCTCTTTTTTTTAACAATGTTAAAAATTTTTTTAATTTTTTTCGACTATTCTACCTTTTTATTTATACATTCAAGAACATCCATGAATTTTGCCAATTTAAAATAGTCAAAATTGCTGCCGCAATCGCCGCTCTAGCCATTGGGGTCCAGTAGACCCCATGTGTGGTGGATGATTGAAATAGGAGGTGTGTGGTGGAAGGGTTAATTTAAAGTATAAATTTATAAAGTATAAACATATATAAAATTGTATCTTTATCTATAAATGTTATCTATAAATGAACAGAGGATAAAGTTTTATGTTATGATTTACTTCTTTCATTCATTTTATACATTAATTAGATGAAAAATGAGCATGGGATCGAATCGGTCCCTCCTTACTGGATACGTCTAAAAATTCACCTTACCAGCAGACGGTTAAGATGTCGTAAGTCAATCCGAAGACTGTATTAGCGTTTTAAGACATTATTTAAGACAGTTTTAAAATAAGAACGGACTATGAATACCGCCCCATGTTTCGCGTTTCACAGTTGTAACCCTTAAACCTTATGAATAGTCCATAGACAGAGAGGGTAGAGATTTAGAAAGAGACACTGTCGAACTGCACACATCATGTCGTCCCTTCCATCATGTTTAAGACCATGGTGGAAGGATTACATGTTGTGTCAGCAACATGGACGAGTTGTCGTCCTTTTTCGCGCAGGTCCTCAGCTGACGTCACCAATCAGTCTGCCATCTATCTATCTACACTATAAAGCAGCATTATAAAAATGAAGTCAGCTCATGGTCTGTTTTATAGGGTGGCACCCAGTTGGACACGGCCACTCACAGCGCTTGAGACTACAAAACTCCTAAGCACCGGTCGCTGTGATTGGTGTCCAATCGAGCCGTGATCAATCGGGATCACCCTTGTTTTATATACAGATGTGGCGGTTTATGCTGCACCCAATTTTAAATTTAAAATCGTATTATGAAAAGACTAAGAGAAAAAATAGTATAAATAAAACTGATTTAGAGGAAACTACAAACATTTAAGATGAGGTAATATTATCAATAATATAGTCAGTATTATTTAAACCACGCAAAAAAAAATCGTAAGAATTTTATTTTTGCATTCGTGGAATTCGTTTTTAACTGATTTGGTATAGGAACAAGTCATATATATAAGAATTATGTATTTATACTTCTATAATTAGCTAAACAAATCATGATTTTATTAGTATTAATAAAGTGCAATAGTTAGTTTCTGAGAAATAAGAGGGTATCACATGCTGATTGGCTCGGCTTTTAAGTGTCTTTACTGTTAGTTAGAAAGAAGACAACGTTAAAGAAAGAAGAGATTAAGACGAGGAATTGCGTCATATAGGTACCCTAGATGTAGGCCGGTATTCATAGTCCGTTCTTATTTCAAGATCGTCTTAAGTAATGTCTTAAGCGGGGAGCACATAGAAAAACGTAAGGCCGTAAGACGTAATCAGTAAGGAAATCGTTTACACGGCACGCTTTAACCTGAAGTTATAACATCGATGTTATGTAACTGCCCAATCACAGTCATTCCATTCTTCAGAGGAATAACTATGATTGGCCAGTTTCATAACATCGATGTTATAACTTCGGAGTAAATCGAGCCGTGTAAACATAGTCAGTGTTGTTAGGCGGCACGGACTTCTGGCGCATGCGCGTCCAATGTAGCTTCAGTAACGTACCGGTCACTAGTAAATAGGAGATCATTAGTTGCCTATGTAAAATTTTTTTAAAAATGTAAATTTTAATATATTTTACATATTTTACATATGTATACATATACATAAATATATATGATAAATTACGAATTAATATAAAAACTAATAAGTTTTTACAAACTCCTTTAATTAAAATAATTAATAAAACCATAAAATATGTATTACAGGCAATAGGAGTCGACGCTGGTTATCAGTTAGTGCAATTTTTCTTAATACTAAATATATAAACCTTAACTTTGAACGTTTCCACTCATGGTTTGAGTCTTCATCAGCAATCTTTCATCCTATCGTAACGATTGGAGTATTGCATGACAAAATGATATCTCCAACGTTTTTCCTCTCAAATATTGAACCGTTTACTGTTGTGAGATAAGTCACATACTCAAAGTTAGAAAGCTGAGTGGCAATGAGAACTCAAGCTCACACAGTCGACGCTTCTACACTGAACAATGAATCTCTCTTATTTAACATTTTGTAACTTATTAATATGTTATAAATTACCGTCAAATTTAAAAAAAATTTGTGAGTATCACTTTGTGAGTATGTGACTTACCTCACAACAGTAAACGGTTCAATATTTGAGAGGAAAAACATTGGAGATATCATTTTGTCATGCAATACTCCAATCGTTACGCTAGGGTGAAAGATTGCTGATGAAGACTCAAACCATGAGTGGAAACGTTCAAAATTAAGGTTTATATATTTAATATTAAGAAAAATTGCGCTAACTGATAATCAGCGTCGACTCCCATTGCCTGTAATACATATTTTATGGTTTTATTAATTATTATAAATATATATATTTCTATATATTGTTACGCCCATGCACCGTCGCATGCCGTACTGTGCTCTGACACCCGTGGTGTCGCGTTGTCAAGACGATATGCCGTTGTTGACGGTGAACAGCTGTCAGATCTTCGGAGAGCAGTCAAGACGAATGGACGTGCTTCTCCGCCGATTACACATATTATCGTTACGCTACTTATGTACTGACGATCTCGTGGTGCCGACGTTACTGAATAAATGGCTTCTTATTTCCTACTCTTTAAGCCTTGAGTCTCTTTATTTCCATGGCTCGGGAGCGCGCGTTACTATCCGAGTGCAATCTCGTGCATCGGGCGCAACATTTTGGGAGCTCGTCCGGGATCAGAGGGTCTCGGATGATTCGTTCACCGATCGTCACGAGAGGGAGAGCTCGAATGCAGAGTCCGGAAGGATCGATAACGGCGAAGCCACGAGATATGGAGATAACAGCGGAGGAGATAACCCCGCAGAATCAGGAGACTTCCTCGACGCAGACGGCGCAGCGTTGCAGACAATGTTACGGGAGATGCGACAACTGCGTGAGGAGCAGCGGCGAAAACGGGGGCGGCGTTTGCGGAGACTCAACGTCAGCAGAATGAGCAGATCTTCCAATTACAAGAGAGACTGCGTCAGATTCCTGCAAATCAGGTAAGTCTTTCTAATAATATTCGCAGGCGAGATTCTTTCGCGAATGTCGTCGATCGCGTTGATTTCGCCACGGGCGGAAGTTTCGTCGCGGGTGTCGTCGAACATGGCAATTCGGCTGTGCCGAATTTTCACGCGGATATAAGCAGGGGCGCCGTTGGTCGTTTTGATGCGCCTCTGGCATTTCGCGGTCAGATGGGCGTCAAACTTAAGCCGGATATTTATGAGGGGAACGTACCTTTACGCGAGTATCTTGCGCAATTTAACCTAATCGCTCGAGCGAACCGTTGGGAAGACGACACAAGGACCGCTATTTTGGCGTCGTGTTTGCGAGGACGAGCACGCGCAATTTTGGAAAACATAAAAAATTTAGAGAATTTGCAATTCGAGGAATTGAAGTCGAAACTTGAGATGCGTTTCGGGGAAACGCAAACGTTGCAAAGTTATTATTCGCAGTTCACGAACAGGAGACAAAAATTCGGGGAGAGTATTGCCTCGTTAGGCTCAGATATCGAACGGTTATCGCAATCGGCATATCCGGAATGTTCCGATACGGTTCGCGATAAAATCATGGGCGCACAATTTATTTCCGCTCTATTCGACGGGTTTGTAAAGAGAACTCTACAAATCGAGGGAGTAACGTCTCTCAGAGTGGCGATTGAGCGTGCAAAATCGGTTAATAGTGGAGCCATATTACCGGAATTTAAAAAAAGATGGGAACTACTCGACGGGAGCAATTTTTTTTATGGAATCGGTCACAAATGATGTAAATAAAGGGAACCTGAGGTTTCCAATATGGCCGACGAACGAAACCATATTTTTTTTAACAATTTGTACACAAAAGGCAGTAAATGCGCAGTTTTTCGCTCCGCAGTTATCTCCGGTCCCCTTCAACGTACAGAAATAAAAAAAATATCAGTGTCTTCGTAAGAAAATTTACTACAAAAAATGTAAGATGGTCGAATTCGAAATATTGCAACCTAACCTCAAAAAAAAATAAAACTCCAAAAAACGATGAATTTTGGTTTTTATTTTATAACTTTTTTTTTAATCGTTCGATTTTAATGATATTATAGAAAAATATACTTCTTGTGGTCATAATTAAGTGTACCAAATTTCAATTAAAAATATTGATTAGGACGGCCGTAATGCCAGTTTGAATTTTAAAATTGGCAGGCTAATAACTACTGTGCAACACGCTAGCGACAAATTTTTTTTTTTAAATGTACGTTTTTTAATGCTCTTTAAGATAAGTATGAGCAATATGGTCTGAAATGTCAAGAATAATTTTAAAACCGGGTTTAAAAAATTTTTTTAATTTTTAAAAAATTTTTTTGGCGAAAAATGGCTTCTTTTAAACTGTACACTATTTTTTATTAATCTACTGTATACATGGGATCAATTTACATAATATTGAAGTAGATTTATTCAATATATTGTAATAAATCTCGATATAAGACATATATACAGGGTGTCAATTATGTACCGGGACGGTCAAATATTTCGACAACTTCCAACATTAAAAAAAAACGCTGAAACACGTGAAACGATTTTTCAAA